AGCATCGGAGAGTGTGTCAGGGAGAGGAGCCGGTTACCACCTCTCCCCAGCGGAAGCTTATTCCCCAAAGGGGAGACCTTATTCTCCCAGATGGGGCAGATGGGACCGCAGTCTCTGCACCCGGTCTACAGGGGTGCGGGACAGCTTGCCCAGATCCCCAGCAGCAGGACTGTTTATCAAAAGGGGAGATAGTCGGTCTCCCCTGCCAGCAGCAGCACCAGGTCCAGGGAGAGGAGCCTACCACCCCCTCTTCACTGCTGGGCTCCAACCAGACTACTCCAGCTGAAGTGCTGGCACCAGGGCAGAGTATCGCTGCTCTCTGCCCACTCAGCAACCCACAGATCCGGAGTACCCTTACCCCACACAGCCGTGCTGGAGCCCCTGGACAAAGACTGGCTGCACGTTTCCCCAGGTGCAGTAACTTTTCATTGTGGGTGGGCTGCACTACTGACTATGTTTTGTGGGTGGGTTGCTGGACTAACCAAGGCACTGACTGACAGGAGGCCAGATACCTTGTTAGTCTTTTTGGGAAAGGGGATAAATGTGGCGGAACCAGCCTCGCCACTGGGCATTGGAGAAGACTTATTGCCAGCCTCCTGCCCTGTGACTATGGCCCCATGTTGAAATGCTTGATTTTCCCCTGCAAAGACCTGAAAGCCGGGTCATTCGGTACTTTCCCTATGTGAGCAGTGTTACCCCAGATAGCTATGCCATGGAGCCCATTTGTATAACGAAAGACTATGTGAAAGACTTTGGCTCCATGGCAATTGAACTGTATGTATGTGATCTGAGGGCCATTCAGTAATATGATATATCTGGGGATATGTTGAATGTACCTGTTTTATGCAATAGCTGCACAGTTATATATTTTTATGTATTTTATTGTATTTTGCTACCATGTGGCTAATGGAGTTTTGCCTCTGTCCTTGGAGATAATTGGATTACTTCCCAATTATCTACAGAATAGAAGACTCTGTGGAACTGGTTTTGGGCAGAAAAGCCATGCTTCATTTGGTCACAAAGGACGTTGATCTAACTTTTGACCCACTGGACCAATTTGTATGATTTTGACGTATGTTGGTATTTGGAGTACGCTGATTCTGATGATGAAAAATGTAAGTTTTATGTGAATGTGATGCATACTTTTAAACTTATGAATATTGTGTAAAACTGTGTATTTTCCTGCCTGTGATAATTATATTAACCCATTGTGTTAGGTAATTGTATCACAGGCAGAGGGGAGGATTTTGTGTGGGAGTGTCTGAGTGTATTGTACGTGTTTATTGGTTGTTCTTCAAAACCCTGTGGGCTACTATGTTTGTAGAATGTGAATAAAAGAGGCTGTATGGGCCAGTACAGTCAGTTCTACTTCACCCTCAATTTGGAGTGCCGTCTCTTATTGGGGGAATCTGCTACAAGGGATTGCTATATTCACTGCTAAGCTCTTGTAAGAGCTTGTTCCTGTTTTGTTCTCTGGAGGAGTCTACGGTGGTTATGGTGTCTGCAGTGCTTGGAGTCCTCAGGAAGTGCTAGGAGCATCCTTCAACGGAGGTACCCAGTCGGGGTGCCATCGATCCGTTACAGGGTGACTAGGGGCTTGGGGACCCCTAGTCACCATGGGGGGGTAACATTTTCATGTAGGGACCCCAACCGCCGCTCAGGGGTGGGGGCCGGGGGGAGGACAATAGGTCCCCCATCACATTCTCATTTAGAGTCCCCACCCACCGCTCAGGGGTAGGGGCCGTGGGGGAGGGCAATAGGTTCCCCACCATTGTTCTTTAGGGCCTCCACCCACTGCTCAGGGGTAGGGGCCGTGGGGGAGGGCAACAGGTCCCCCCTACATTCTCAGTTGGGGTCCCCACCCACTGCTCAGGGGTGGGGCCGGGGGTGAGGACAATAGGTTCCCCCCCATTTTTCTTTAGGGCCCCCACTCGCCGCTCAGGGGTGGGGGCCAGGGGGAGGACAAGAGGTCCCCCCCTTATTGTTATTTAGGGCCTCAACCCGCCGCTCAGGGGTGGGGGCCAGGGGGAGGACAACAGGTCCACCATCACATTCTCATTTAGGGCCCCCACCCACTGCTCAGGGGTGGGGGCCCGGGGTGGGAGGACAGTAGTCCCTACTTTGTCTTATGTTTTAAAGAAAACTAGAGCAGACATAAAGGTAAGTTCAGCATGACAGTGCCGCTTTAAAGCCAAATACAGTGGCTGAATGGATTTTGCAAGATACAACAGGGTGCCATATTCTGTTGAAAGAGGGTAGCTAGGACAAGAGAGCAAAAAGGGATAGAGAAAATGGAGGGAAATAGATGTTTTTTTGTAATTTTTATTTGTTTTACATTTTATTTAGCAATTAAGGAGTTTACATGCAGTTGCCATGAAGAAAACATCACTACATCAGTTGGACAGATACAGAGGTTCATGGAATATCTGTGTTATATAACCTAACATGAGTCATAACAGAATTTACAGATTGATAGTAATTGCGACACTGTTCAATAATTGTCATAACACAACAGCTCTTCAGCCTTATATCAAATAAATGTAGGAAGAGCAAGTGAAAGGGTTCGTGCCTCTGCGTCATGGACTACATAAATAGTCATATCATCAATAAGAACAGTGATGGACAGTAGTAACCGTATAACTAAAAGAAATAAGTAAAGGAAAACAACCATTGGTGCAATGCAGTAGATTAGAGGTTAATATGGACGTTGTTAATGTGGAATCACTGTGTCCCTTAGTAAGGGTGTTCTCTGTTTGAGAGAAGTGGTCTGGGTGCCTATAGTGTCCTTTTAAGAAGTTTCAGTCAACTGGAAATGTTATAAATCAACCTGGAAGAGACCGTGTCTATATTGTCTTAATGCACTGTAAAGCAGAAGGTTCGAGTGGCCAAAAAATCTCCAAGTGTCAGAGCTGGAGAATTGCAGAAGTTAGTTGCGTCTTGAGGTCAGAAAATCTCCAAAACTACAATCTGACGTTACCTACATCACCACATGTTGTGTGGAAGGGCTTCAAGAAAAAAACCTGTACCCATCCAAAAACAAACTCAAGCATCTTCAGGTTGCCAGACACTAATGGAACTTCAAATGGGATCAGGTTCTATATTCAGATAAAGCCAAAATAGAGCTTTTTGGCAATAAACACCAGTGGTGTGTTTGTCAGAAACAGAGAGGTAGTCATTTGGAAAAGTACCTCATGCCCACAGTTAAAGAGAAACTCCAGTGCCAGGAAAACAATCCGTTTTCCTGGCACTGCAGGTCCCCTCTCCCTCCCACCCCCCAATCACGGTTGCTGAAAGGGTGAAAACCCCTTCAGTGACTTACCTGAGGCAGCGACGATGTCCCACGTCGCTGCTTCTCCCTCCGTGCCGCTCCTCCCTCTGGTTGCGTCAGCCGGTGGGCGAGACTGATCCCGCCCACCGGCCGAGGAGACCTAATGCACATGTGCAGCAATGCTG